GTCTTCTAGTATCTTCAACCAAGTCCAGTTGCCCTTGACTTTAACCTTCTTTCGATAACTTTATCTCCTTGTTTCCACTTCAATCCTTGTATTTCCTTGTTTCCTCTTGTTTCCTCTCCTCTTTTCTCCTTATTACCTCTCCATTCATCTGCTCTTATTTCCTTGTTCTCTTTCCTCTCCCTTTATCTAGCTGTTTCTCAATCTGCGTTCTTGTCCGTACTTGTGTTCTTGTGGACTTGTGAAACGTCATCAGCTGCGGCCAAAGTACTGCTGCTATTCAAAGTACAGTCAAATACCTGGATGTGTTCTCGCTCCACCCGTTTTACTGAGCCTGCATCGGTGGTGACTTGTGTGGACTTCGGATAGCCAGATATCCCAGAATGCATTTCGTCATTTCAAAAAGTGTAAATGTCGGACAAGAAAACTCACAACTGTAACTTATAATACTGCTGTTCTTTAAAAAATTGCCACAATGTTTTCGGAGATGTGAGGTCCCGCCTGCTAATGGGTCCGGCCGTCATCAAGTCTGCTGCTGTTCCAATTGCTGAATTACTGACAGCGTGCTCCCGTTCCTGGGAGTTTGTACTCCCAAGCTGAAATTGCAGAGTCCAAGCTTTAAAGTACAGAAGTCCGAACTTGGCAAACTCAACTGTTTCTTCTCCTTTCCTCTTTGTGTGCATGTGTTGCATGCGGATTGTGTGTGTGCATGTGAATGTGTGTGTGTGTGTGTTAGAGGTTTGAAAAGGTCCAATTTCAGCCAGAAATTCTTTCTCTCTTTGTGGAAATATTCTTGGAAACTACCAGAATCTTTTCCAACATAAATAAGACTGCAGCTGTCCACGTGTACTGTAGTCCATGGGGCGCACACACACACACACACAGGACTGAAAGTAATCAGTTGCTGAATTTGCTCCAGAGCTTCATAGTGGATGAACATGTAGTTTGTCCTCAGGGTGGAAGAAACGTCGTATGGGGCATTAGAAGAACACTCCACCAATGTAGCACTGCACTGCATAGACTGATGCACGCCCATTATTTCCTTGTCACAGTCTGGCACCTACATTACCCACAATGCAATTTGACTGCTGACAGAGTCTGGTAGCCTGCAGCAGAGATGCGCAGAGGGGTGGTGAGCTCATGTCTTTCTAACTCCACACCCACAGATCGGTTTAATTTTCAGCGGCTCCTCTTCCCTCCTTGTTTCCTCTCCTCTCCTTTCCACTCCTTTCCTTTCCTCTCATCTCATCTTTTCTCCTTGTTTCCTCTCCTCTCCTCTCTTTTCCTCTCCCTTTATCCTTGTTTCCACACAAGTCACAACACACACTACATCACAGTTTTACATACTGGTGAGATAAATTCAAAACAATACCACAAAAACTGGTTATTAGTAAGGTTGCTTGATGACCAAAACAAAAGAAATAACAAATGTAAACATTTGCCCATTTTTTATACCTTAGTGTGCTTTACAGTTCAACACACCAAACAACAACTTATTTTGAATGCCCCAGCATCCTGTCTTTGGTCTGGGACAGGCCAGAGATTGTTGTTCTTCACCTCCTCCTCCTCCTTCCTCTACCTCCTCCACCTTCTTCTCCACATCCACCTCCTCCCTCCTCGTCCTAGGCTTCATCTTCCTCCTATCCCATCTCCTCCTCCAACTCCTACTGTTCCTCTTCCTTCACCTCTTCCTCTTCTCCATGCTGCTCTTCCTCCTCCTCCTCATCTTCCTCCTTCTCCTCTGTGGTGTCCTCTACCTCTTCCTTCTCTCCTGTCTCTAGGTCCATTGTTCCAAACCTGAATGAACTGACTCTGGCCCTTTTATCTATCTATTGAAGGTCATGGTTTTGAAATTTAAGTTCAAAAGTCTGGTTATAGTGTTTAAACAATTGAGAAAAACTGTAATAAATCTTTAGCAGCACCTACATAGCAGGGATGTAGCGCCCTCTTGTGGACCACACAGGAAACAATACCCTCATCAATATAATATAAAATTGAACTTCTCTACACTGACAGCCTGATGTTATTATTTTATAATATAATATATATTTAATTGAGTTTGGTGTAGGTTTGTTTTATTAGTTATGTACTTGTGACTGATATAGCGCACTACAGTGACAGACAGACAGCAGGTTTATGTTACACAACAGCAGTTCAGTCTCACCTCCAGCAGAGTCGGCCCACTTCACAGATGGACTACAGGACTCTAGCTAATAAGACTGGATTTGTTCTGCACCTGGTCTAACGTGGACCATTAGGAACCTGGGACCAAACTGGACGTGTTTTTCTTCTGGAAACAAAAGAAGATGAGGAAATTTAACTGAACTGGATCACCTTTCTGCTCTGGACTACCTGAACCAGAGCCATTCTGAGCCGAGCCGGACCAAAGCTGAGCCTCTGAAGAACTAGGTTTTTATCACACACAGAATAATATATATACAACTACAAACTACTGTGTGAATAATGCATACTTGTGACAGATATCTACATTACTTTTATTTAGGGTGACCATATTTTGGTTTTCAAAAAATAGGACAGTTTGGGCTGGAGGTAGACGGACAACGCAGTCGGTGGAACAATAATTTTAGTAAAACAGAACAAGACGAACGTGTTGCTCTCAAGAAGAGAGGCAGTATAAGGAGCAAATATTCATACAATGGCTTCCTGGCTCTGGCTAAATCTACATCGGTCTGCAGAGGCTCTGTCTACCTGGAGGAGTAACTAGTATACATATGTGTATTAGTACAATATTATAACATTAAATAAAAAGTTTAATGTTTGTATAATACTGATATATTTATAGGTTACACTTTATTTGGCTAATGTCTGCCTAAAGATTGTTTATAGTAGAGCTATTTGTAATATTTTTCAACAGTTCAAAAATAAAACCATTTAAGATTTCATTAGGGCCAATATTAGTGTATTCATTATAATTACAGATAAGATTGTCATATAAAGCTTACCACTAGTACAATATTAATTCAGTTACAGCAATTTTATTATGATAACCTACATTGTTCTCATTCATTAAATCATTGTGCAAGAATAATGCTCTACATGGTGGTTAGTCTCTAATGTGTTAATGCTAAGTGCTAACTTGTCAATAATCAATTAACATTCATGCATAATAAGTTCAACATTTCAAAAGTTTGTTGTAGCATTACTTCAGCCTTTTTTAATGTCCCGCCCCAACCATGCTGTGATTGGTCGGTTCACGAAAAGTGACATTGATAAGCAACTTTATGCACACACTTGGATAAAAAAGCAGCCAATCTTCTGCCCTCTTCATCTTCAGCGATGGAGAGGGCAGAAAAGAGTACCAACAGCTTGTGAGAAGTGCCGGTACACAAGAAAAAGTCCCGGTATACCAAAGAGTAAAATGTAATAGTAATGTAAACAGGGTGGGACTTATAAACGTAAAATTTGACACAGATGTGAGCATGTACCCTGAAGTTATAACAAGTTCTTGTTTCATGAATCATTGATTTTCAACGCCACACCATGGACACACACTTTGACAAAAACTTTTCATCTTAAATGGCTTAAGATACAATGAAAATTTGAAGTCGATCCCATTTATTGTCTAGGAGGAGTTCATTAAAGTATGGAATGTGTAATTTGCCAAAAATGACCAATAAATCCAAAATGGCCGACTTCCTGTTGGGTTTAGGGTATGCCTCCAAGAGGCTTTTTTGTGTGTCCTGGGATGATACGTGTGCCAAAAAAATTTCTTACATCTAGGTAAAACTTGGCGCGAGGACTATGCCATTGAAGGGGTCACTTCCTGTTGCCAGTAGGTGGCGCTTTGACTTTGAGGGATTGTTGGCATATGGATGTCTTTGGGGTGGTCATCAAACCTGTAAGGTTTGGTACAGATGTGAGCACGTACGCTGAGGTTTTAACAATTGCCTGTTTCATGGCGTTATTCGACGCCACACCACAGTTTCTTTCATGAAACCTCACAGGAAGCACAACTTATCATCATCAGTGCCTTTAGACTGCACAGTGAAAATTTGAAGTTGATCAGATTCATTCTCTAGGAGGAGATTGTTAAAGTACAGACCTTGTAATTTGTCAAAAATGCCCAATAAAAAAAATGGCTGACTTCCTGTTGGGTTTAGGGTATGCCTCCAAGCGGCTTTTTTTGTAGGTGTGCCACAAACATTTAGACCAAGTCGGAGAAACGTGGCCCGGGGGCTGCTCTTTAGGGGGTGCTAGTGAACCATTTTGCCACACCCATGCACGATGAGTTATGACAATTTTCACAAGACGTTTTAACATTATGCTTTTTAACATTTTGTGCAAAGTTTCATGAGTTTTCAAACATGTTTAGGCCGCCAAAAATTTGCTTCATTTGCAGAAAGAAAGAAAAAGAATCCCTTAAGTTTCAATAGGGTCCTCGCATGTTTCATTCTTGGGCCCTAATTATATACAGGTTTACAAGTGTAGTTCAGGGCACAATTCAAGCAGGATCAAAGCATTTGTTGTCTCTCGCTGCTGACTACCGTTCATATTTTTTCTGAAATAAGGTCCCACGGTGTCCAGCGGCTCTCTATAGGACCAAGGAAAGAACCTTGGGGAACACAAACATGGATTTCTATGGCTGTTCATGTTCCCCTCAGGAAACACTGTAATAACTCTGGTGAACTCTGAATTTCCATCTAGTGCCATCATCAGGTCAACATGTACATTTTTCCAAAACTATTAATAACTAATGACTAAATACCTGCAGAACTAATGACATTCCCATTAGTCTCAGCTTTAGCAAATGTTAGCATGCTAACATATTAAATGAAGAAGGTGAGCAATGCTCAACATGACATTTAGCTCAAAGCATCACTGTGTCCAAGTCCTCACAGATCCACCAGCTCTTGAGATGAAGTGCACCTCCAACTCGTCTGTGATTTTCTGTACATCTCACTCTGCAGCGTTACTTACATATCTAACATTAATATCGAGTACAAATAATGACTAATTTCCTTCTCTTTATTTTTCAGGTTCTCTCCAGCCCGGTCCAGTTCAGTCCGGTTCCATTCACCAGTTCGTCCCAGTCAGTTTGAGTCATGCAGTCCCTGACTCAGGAGATCCAGAGTTTCTCTCGGACGCGGCTGAGGAAGCAGTGCACCCGTGTGACATCACTGAGCGGCCGTCGCATCATCGAGACCTGGAAAGGGTCTACGATTACTGTGGTGGAAGACCCCGTCCCCCAGAGAGGATGCTGGGATATGTCCCTGACACTTCCTGGGACTTGCAGGTTGGCACTGTCAAGCCCTACCTGCTGCTGGGTGAGTGAACGTGACAACACAGTAAACCACTGTCAACACCGTCCACCTTCAGTCATGCTAGATTTAATTTATGTGGAAAAGGTGAAGAAACCGTCATCACAGCACAAATTATTTCCCACAATCCATGTCAATCAGTTGGATAGACACATCTACAGATCTTAAAAACGAATTACATCTGAATGAATTAACCCAAAGATAAATTTCCACACCAGAATGCTTAAAAAAACAACAACAAACATCCCATTTGTGACTCCACAACCTTTCTGGTCGATGACTCTTTGGTAATAAACTGTCACTTTGCTCCATAGATGCCTCCTATCCTGTCCCTCTTGTTTTTGGCATTAAATGTAAAGCTGTTCCTCGTAAAACCACCAGTGTGATTTGTGTGTTGTGTTCAACACATTTGCACTGGCAGTGAAAGATATTTAATCATAGTCACCAGTTATTCAAACTCACAAACTGGTCTGAAATTACAGAAAATAACACCCATTTCTATTCTCACTCCCAACTCATCACATATCCCACAAGACCACTTGCTATTGCTTTTTAACATCCTGGGTGCTCTTTAGTATTGTTGTCAGGTAAGCAAGAATAAATATGCAAAGCATGTTTAGAATTTCAAAATAAAAGTAGTGGTTAACATTGTGAAATGTCGTCATTTTGTTTTGGTTTAGGAAAAGATCATGGTGTGGGTTAAAATAACTACGTACTTACGTGACTTAGTAAAGTAATGTTACTTTAGTAAGTTTAGTACCTAAAAACAAAAAAGACTTTTTGTTTAACACAGGAAACAAACACTGTTATCCCAGGTGAAAGTCCGGTTTCTGATCCACCCCTCCATCTTCTTACTCTGACTTTTATAGTCTAGTGTCTTTTAGCGTTAATGTAATGAAATGTAATTTTTGTAGATTATAAGCTTTATTTTAAAAGAACAATTCTTTACATACATTAATGAAACTCTGGTTCCCATATTCATAATTATATAATACACTTAACTGGTGCACCGTCTTGGCCAGGTCTCCCTTGGAAAAGCAATTCAATCTCATGGGACTTCCTGGTTAAATGAAGGTTAAATAAGACATAAATTATACGCAAGTTTACAAGTGAGAGGCCATCGCAGTAATGGCAGCTTGTCCTCTTCCACCTACTGATTGAACACCTTTGTAAATAAGAAAGGGAAAAAAAGAGGCACCAAGCAGATGCTTCAGTCGATGGATGGGTCACCTTAACCCCTGTCCTGGAAGTGACCTTCAGTCCGCCAACACAGATATCTGCCAGTTTAGAGTAGAGGGTAACATGAGCCGAGACGTGGGGGAGAACAGGGGGAGACAGAACCCATCAGGGCTCACAGGTGGAACATAAATGACCCAGTGACCTGGTCAGCGTTTTGGTTCAGCACCCTGGACAGCGTCTCGTGCCAGAACAGTTCAAAGACAAATCCTGAACCAGCTAACTAACCAGTTGCTAGTTTACTCAGGTACTGTACATAAAGAACATTTTTAGGGACTTTACTTACTTACTAGAGGCAAATATTGGGCTTTTTCTCCACCACAAGTATCTGATAGCGTTACTGGTTAGTTTGCCGATTTAGGTTATTATTAATACAAAAATATAGTTATTGCCTATTAGTACAGTTAAATCCACACAGCAGTATATAAACTGATAATTAACTTCATCTCTTCTAGCTGCAACATTAAATAATTATAATCCAATAATAAGTGGTCCATTCTGCATAATGAGTACTTTTACTTTTAATACTTTAAGTATACTTTTGTACTTTTATTTGTATTGTAGTATTTCTACTATTACATAAGTTAAGGATCTGAATACTTCTTCCATTGCTGTACCTAACTACAGTAATTCACTGTGTGTGTGTGTGTGTGTGTGTAGGTTCTCAAGATGCTGCACATGACTTCGGCACTCTGAGAAAACACAAGGTGAGTTTTCTTTTACTATTGATCTGATAACATTCAATTCAGTTTCCATGTTGTACAGGTGTTTCACTGTGGACAGAGGTCTCCACTAAAACAAACTGCAAATGTTAATGTGGATGCAAATCATTTTCCCAGTCATTTCTATAAATGTAGACGGCTTGATGTAGATGTAGCCTCAGACATGTTAAAAAATAATGGGAGTGAAAACTGAGCAAGCTGTTAACTGGCTAGATGTTACTGTCATGTGATTCCTGTTTATTTATGTCACCTTTACTCTGGGATTATCAAGATTAAGTCTCCTCCTCCTCCTCCTCTTCCCCAGGTGTCTCACATCCTGAACGTGGCCTTCGGGGTGGAGAATGCCTTTCCTGACCTGTTCCTCTATAAGACCGTCAGTATTCTGGATCACCCAGACACAGATCTGCTGCCTCACATCCAGGACTGTTCTGACTTCATCCAGCAGGCTCGTAAAGAGGTAACAGTTCCCCACAGACTGGAGTGAAACCACAGACGTTTCAGAAAGCTGTTGCAATCTTCTCAATAAAACACCTTTGGTGCGACATCTAGAGTCACTTGGCCAATCAGAATGAAGATAACGGCATCGTCTTCCTTTTACATTGATGGCAACCTTTCGTGGTACTGCAGTAAATTGTAGTCTCATTTGCTGCCAGCAATGTAATATGTTGTTTAACTTTATGTTTGGTAACTAGTTGCTATGTTAACTTGTCAAATCAAGTTTAAGTGCATCGTGATCTTTCCCAATCTGTTTAAAATGGTGGGCTTGCCAGCTAGTTAGCACATCAGCTAACTTTAGTGAATTATTAATCAGTTTAGAATCAGAATAATTTTCCAGAGTTAAAAGCTAAGTTATAAGTTACGAGGGAAATTAAACAAACGCATAATGAAACCACACGTGTCCAGTTTAATGAGTAAACGTGTTAACTCTTTAAACCGAAAAACCTGCTCTGGCGGAACATTTAAATTTGACGGAAGGGTCTAGATGCTCCCACCCAAAGGAAAAATCTTTTGCTAAGAACAGTCTTTTATTTAACTCTTGAGAAAACACTAAGATCTCAATAGTATATCTTTTTGAGATCACTCCAATCTGAATTGTTGCTCCTAAAACCCCTTAGGATGAGAGGAAGAGAGATTGAGGTTTTGAGACTTAGATAAGAAAACTGGAAACTGAATTGAGATTACAATAGGATAAATGAAAGTAACAGATGAGATGTCATCATTGTATCTTTTTGAGTTCATTAATGTCTTGCTTATTGCTCCTAAAAAGCAGTTGGGAGCTCTGGGGAGATGTTGGTGAGCTTGATTGTATTACATTACTGTCTATGCTTGGAGAACCGTGCTGGAGGCCCTGAGCTGGATTTGAACCCCGCTCCTGCTGTTCAAAGGGCAACAACGCTGCCGCTGCACCATCCAAATAAAAACAAAGAGAACAGTGAAGGACTTATTGTCTTTATATAGAGTACAATTTTCCTTTACATAAAAGAGGAGAAATACCAAATCCACAATTAAAGTCCTCAAAATTCTACTCAGATATAAAAGTATTCCACAGTGAATGTACATCAAAAGTAAAAGTGCTTATTCTGTATGACAGATACATGTTGTATTTCATTCTTGCGTGCATTCGGTCCTTAATGAATTAATCTCTAAACAAAGTAGTCAAAGTATTGGTGGTCCAGTTATGCTGGCTGTGACTACCTTAACAAATTGGAAAACATGACATTTGAAAGTGCATTATTTTCAATGTCAAAATGTATTTTATTTTTCTCAGTAACTTGTAACAGATAATTAACAATAAATACAAAAATGATTTGAAATTATTAGGGAGTAAAAGTACAAACCCCCATAAAAAGAAAATACTCAGCCTCAACATTTGAGGTGTACTTGAGTAAAATAACCCCTAAGTGGGGTCACTACGACAAAACTGAGAAATATCTTGGAGCTTGTTTTCTGATCCACATTCTGGAGACTGAAATTACACTTATTGAAGATACTTTGGAGATCTCATCCTTTGATCAGAGTAAGACAGAGATGAGTTTTAGCTCCTGAGGCCAATATGAGAAAACTGAGAAATATTTGAGAAGGATCACGAGATCCCAGGAGTCATAGCTGAGTTTTCAATGAGCTCTTTCTCTGATCTCATGGTCCAATGTTCAGGAGACTTAAATAAGACTAATTAAGATCAGTTTTAGATCTCTTGTTTTGATCAGAGTAAGACATAAATGAGATTTTATATGGTTGTTTCTCCTGAGATGAATTTGAAAAGTGGGAGAAAAGGCCTTTGGTCTCACCTTGGTAATAAAATCAGTCAACTTTTATATTCTCCATTTAAGTTTGCAGGTCTGTATTAATAAAGCTATTAATAATTTGAACTGTTAAGTCTTTAAAATCTCTCAAAATAAAGACTAATGTCTGAAGTTATTCTTTAAAATGCTCAGTCAGTCTGACCAGCGGTCCTAAAACCCAAAGAGTGACATCAAACAATCATGTAAAACAAACAAAAGCAGCAAATTCTCACATTCGAGATGCTGGAGTTTTTCCTGGAGAGATTATTTAAACCATTAATTGCTTATCAAAACTGACTTTTAGCAACTGGCAAATCAGTTCAGCTTTACTGTTAACGTTAAACAGTCGTCAGAACGCAAATCCTCCTCAAACATCCTGTCTGCAAACAGTGCGAGGGACGTCTTACTCTGCGGAAAAAACCCTGCAACGGAAGCCGGATCCTAAAGTGAGGGAAGGTTTGACATGTGACACACGTTTCGACTTCTCCTCTCGTCTCCTCTCCCCTGTTCTGAATAATAGATGAGTAGTTTTGTTCATGTTTTATTAAACTGCACACAGATCAGATCTCAGTGTCATACAAGCTTTTAGCGGCGAAGCCTGCGACTCACCTTAACATGACACCACACACACACACACACACACACAGAGCTAGTCATTAGGCAGTCATTAGCGGTGTGTGATTACAGGAAGTGTGTGTGTTCATTATGATATGTTTCTGTGAGTGTACGTGGTAATTCCAGCCCTGATGATAATCAAACTGATGCTTTTACGTTGAAATGCAGGGTCAGATTACCCAGCAGACCATCTGGCTGGTAATGACCCTCAGTTATTGACGATGTCATGACAACGACAGCATCATGTGACTGAGTACAGATCCATAACCTGGTGAACATGCTAAATGTGTTTTGTGTTTTATACTACAGTTTTCTGATCTTAAATACATTTTCGATTCATTCCTTGCTCATATTTTCTGGTATTTCTCAGAATTTTTGGGTCCTTTTAAAAAAAGTGGTTCTCAACAAACTTTTTCACATCAGGGACCCCTAAACTGACACAAATTAGACCACAGACCCCCATTTGATTTTATCACAGGGTCCCCCACCTGATAGGACTTTTGCTTTCAGATGTTTTATTATGTAAAGTTTATGAAACCCAGTCACACATTCTGTCGTTACTTTACCTATGGATGGCATTATAGTGAAAATACATTATTCCACTTTTTGCTGGGGACCCCGTGGAACCCAGATCCCACTTTGAGGACCAGTTTTTTAAAGCCAAAGTCTGAATGTTCAGGAAAAGAGAAGTATTTGTTTTTTTAGCTCAGATTGTTGGCTATTATACTAGCACATGTGAGTTGAATTTTACCCAACATTTAGCGTGAATTGCTCAGATTTTGTACCCAAGTTTCTGTGAAATCCTTTTTGGCCTGCTCCTAACTTGAAATCTGATGTTTTTAATTAATTATTTAGTTTTATTAAAATTTTAACATATTTTCCAGTCTGGTTTTAACCAAATGTTCAGGTTTGTAAACATCATCAAAATTCACAAAATGTTTGGTTCTGGGATTGAAAATAAAGAAAACAGTCTGTCTTGTTGGAAGACTTTTGACATTTTGGGAGAAGCTTTTGTTTATCTGTCCTCCCTGGAGTCAGATGAGAAGGCTGATACCAGTTTGGTTCTGCTGCAGTGAACTGGGACACAGCTGTGGTGTGAAGGAAAATAGGCTGCTGTAATGGAGAAGCTAATGGGCTTCCAAAGACACTAACAAACAAACATCTATTAACTAAACAGCTGGTAAGTGGCTGTGGTCCATTCTGCTCTGTTTGTCTGTAGAGCCCCCTAGTGTTTACAGAGCATCATGTTTCCTGGCCTAAATATCCCCTGTGAGCCCTAAGCACTGAAGCCTCACAGATTTTAATCAGCGTTAAGTGTGTGAGTTCAGGAGCGTTTGAGGATTTAAAGCGCTTTATGAGGAATGGGACAACACTTTGTGAAATGACTTTACCTGACCAGAACAGTAAAGTGTAGCAGATATTTCAGACTGTATGTAGTTTCATAAACTGAGTTGATAGCAGAGCAGTTCTCTTGGACTAAATCAACATATCTGAAGTCATTTTATGATGAGAAATGCTGTTTTAAGGTCACAACGCAATGCATTGTGGATTATTCCCTTATTAAGCAATGTCTGGAGAGTTGCAGACTTTCTAATAGGCTATTTCTATATTTCAGAAAAATCTATCTAAACCAGTGGTTCTCAAAGTTTTTCTGTCAAGCCTTGCTTCAGAAGCCAAAAAAGTTCAAGCCCCCTCACCCCAGCAAATGTGGATTGTTTATGTCACCACATGAATCCTATTCATGCAGCTTTAGGTCTGCTTAACATCCACGACCCCCCTGAAGTGGGAAGTTTGAGAACCACTCCTAAAAATAATATATACATATATAACAAGTAGGGATGGGGATTGATACCCAGTTCCAAAAGGACCCGGTTCCAAAATTTCTTAAAAAAGTGAAAATCAATAAGGTCCGAGCTTATCGATACCGCTATCGAGACTAGCAGGTCCTATAATGTAACATTATGTCTCAAGCGTCAAATCTGGTTTACCTTGAAACACGATGGATAAGAAAGCTAATGTTTTTTAGTGACGGTATTAAACAGGCCCGGGGCTGTTCATCATCAGGCTGCAGCCTGTGCTGCTCTCTGTCGGCAACTACATACACACATCGGCCAGCAGAGGGAAAGGCTGCACCGTCACCGTGGAGACAGTGAAGTTAAGTTAGCTCCAAACTTCTCAACTTGCCGACAGCTACGCTAGTTACTGTAAGTGCATGGTACAGGGTACACCCTGGACAGGTCGCCAGTCCATCGCAGGGCCTGTCTGAGTTTTTATTCTTTCTAAACGTCACTCCATATTGTGATGTCAGATATAATATATAACAATGTTATTGCACACTGAATATTTTCCTCATACCGTGCAGGCCTACCTAATGCCCGTTGGGTCTGGTCTAAACAAATAACCGTCACCAATTAATAATAAAGTATCGATAGTGGTATCGACAAGGAATCGGATCATTAAGTAGTCTCAATAAGGGTATCAATATCAAAAAAAATTAACAATCCCCACCCCTAATTACAAGACAATAATCCGTTATTTAGGACGAGTGTTATAATGTCATAGCTATACAGCCTGCTGTAGCCTAAACGTGTCACAGTACAGTGGCAGTAATTGTAGTGACAAAGGACAAAAGTAATGGGACACACCTGTCCCAATACTTTTGGGAGGGGCTGTGTTTGGCCTTTTCCTCTTTTGATGTTGCACAAAGCCAACTCCATAAAGAAATGGTTTTCCTATTTTGGTGTGGAAGAATTTGACAGACCCGCTCAGAGCCCGGACTGAACATCTTTGGGATGAACTAGAACAGAGAATGCAGCCAGGCCCTCTCGTCCAACATTAGTGTCTGACCTCACAAATGCTTTTCTGGGTGAACGGGAAACAGCTCCTACAGACAAACTCGAAAATCCTGTAGAAACCCTGATTGGAAACTGCTACAGCTGCAAAGGAGGGACCAAATCCATATTAATGCCAATGGGATGTCATAAATGTAATGTCTAGGTCTCCCAGTACTTTTGATATAGTGTACCTTAGGTACTCTGGCTGGATTATACTCTCTTCTTTGGTTACTTGATGATGCAGTGGGACTTCCTAAAATAAAGTGAACAAGCGTCTGTTTTTGATTGATCCGACCTGTCTTGCCGTAATTGTGGTTGGAAATGTGGTTGTCTCAGTATTTTAGATTTACTACTGATAATCAGAATCAGAAGGAGCTTTATTGCCAAGTAGTGTTTTACACATACGAGGAATTTGCTGTGGGGATAAGGTGCTACACGTAGACAAACATACAGTCAACATAAATAAATGTAGAAATATATAAATATGGAATAGAACAAACAACAGATAAAGAACAAACTTTCCTACCACAAATAGTATAAGTTTAACTGATAGTTTTCATTGTGCCTGATTTTACTTCCGGCGACAGTTGACTTGCTGGCTAACAGAGAGAGAATAGTGGACTTACATTAACCAGGTGACACAAACACGACTCCTATGGGATGTTCATGTTGCTCCGTGTCTGCTGGATGTTTGCTACAGCAACTTTATTAGTTGTGGTAAATGAAATCAATTAATGCAGCTTTAATATTAGCGTTTACTTCTGCTTCTCCCTCAGAAAGGCGTAGTGTTGGTCCACTGCAATGCCGGCGTGTCACGGGCCCCGGCTGTGGTCATTGGCTTCTTGATGTCCTGTGAAGGCCAGTCTTTTGACGCCGCGCTCTCGTTGGTCAGATCAGCTCGGCCCGCCTCCTCCCCCAACCCCGGCTTCCTGGAACAACTGAGGAGCTTCAAAACGTTGACGATTAACGGATCCAAACACTGAGGCGGAAGAGAAAATGTTCAAGAAATAAGTTTGGTTTTAATGAGAACATTTTTGAAATTATTGGATTTTTACAGTGTAGGATTTGGAATAGCACTAGAAAGGGTCTGCTGTGGTGTAATGATGCAGAATAATCAAACCAGATGTGAGGTTGATAAAAAAAAAAAAAAACTGCACACCACTTTTCTTTAAAATGGTCTTCACACAATATACCACATGCTGGAAATGTAAGGATGAATCTATTAAAATCGGTTCATCCAAATCTTATTGTTTCCCGCTCTTGGTTATCCGATTTGGTTTTGAGACTAAATTACAATATTTTCTTGTTTGTGTGTTGTTATTGATTATTGATGAAGTCTTCTTTGTGTTTTGGTGCTGTCCTTCTCATAGTCATCTCTGTGTTTTGTTAAATTAGATTAATGTTTGGGGGGGGTATTCATTCTCACATTCACAAACTCCAGAATGTTTTATTTCTAAACATAAAAATGTAAATGACAGAAGCAGAAATGTTTGCTCCTCACTTGTATTAATTTGAGTTTGAAACCATCTGTGAAAAACAGACATATTTATTAGTGTCAATAAATCCAATTAAAAGACCAAAGGCAACATTTTGAAAATTTTATTATTATTATTTTTGGTTTATTTTACCAGGCAGGTCAGTTAAGAACCAATTCTTATTTACAATAACGGCCTGGTTGGAGGTTGAAAATGCCTCCAATATGGAAAGGTTGTAAGAACTAAATCAGAAAAGAAGTATACCATAGATCAACAACATAGTACTAACAAGAATCAACCAAGCACACAGGACAGCAAGTATGAAGCAACATAAAAGCCATAAAAACCCTAACCCCAACTCTAAACCATAAACAGCTATCATAAAAACACAGGAGAAAGCGCAGGAGCACCGTGATCTAGACATAAATGATACACTAGTTGACAGGCAGACAATAAATAAATAAAATAAAGAATGACCAACAATTAATTAATCCTACTAACAAGTATTTTCTGTTTATCCAAAGTCTGATATTGATATGTATCAATCCCCTGCTGAAAATAGCAGCAAAAATACATTTATTTTTTCCTATTTGAATGACATTTGATAAAAACTACAGTGAGCAGCTGTTTTAGGAAATTACTGAGCCTTAGATAGGTCTTCAGTAGGAACCAATTAACAAACATGGAAAAAGTAGGGAAGTCAAGAAACAACACATTCTCACTCCCAACTTTTCACATATGGACGCTTTTTAAAGCCCTAGGTGTCCCTTTGACGTTTTTTTTGCCACAGACGTATAAAAGAAGTGGGCGTAGCCGCTGTGACGTCTCCCATTGGTTTGTGGACTGCTGTTTGGAAGCCTTGATTTTGGCATTTTGGCCGTCACTCTCTTGTTTTTTTGGAACCGGACGTGACCATATTTGGACGAGAGGGTGGAACTAGTTAGCTTGTTTAGCAAGGTGCATCCGTAATTCAAGGTTCATCATTTGGGTACACAAATAAGTACATTAGTGTAGCATGTCTACTTATGATTTTTAATAAACTTATTGAAATTAATATTTCAGAAATATGAATTCATAATTCTTCGAAGAAAAGGGGCACCACCGGAGATTTAATTCACCCAGAGTCTCCGGACCTCTGGGTAGCGTTTTAATAATTATACAATTATTCACTAGTGATCAGTTAGTTAATAATCGCTCAATTATCTTAAATCAATCAGTCAATCTCATATCGAAGTGGTAGGTCCTCGTGACAGGGACTTTGAGTTAGACAATACACACACAATACACAATTATTAACTAACTAAAGGTAACATAAAAGCGGTTAAGCATCAAAGAAATAAACAATGGCTAAAAACATGGGGCAAACAAAGAATGTTGAGTTCTATTGTAAATTGGGTTCTCTTGTGGGGAGAATTTGATTCATACGGGCAGCTAAAGAGAACTAATGAAAGCAGTTAGATGATACTCAGTTAAATTTGGCTATGGGTTTAAGGATTAAAGATAATGGATTAACAGACTATTGGACATCACTGGTCACAGAGTGGCGACCGTCCTCGGTCCGGCAGTTAGGCTGTTCTGACTTGGATGTCCTTTGTTACTGCTGGCGGGCCCACGTGACTGGGTCCGGGCTTTGGTGAGAGCAGTGTAAATTAGCTCGACGAATAAAGCTTAAAAAGAACTTCGTCCCCTGAGGGCTTGTTTCCTGTTTCCTGAGATACTGTCTTCTTAACTTTTAATATGTCTATTCAAAAATCTATTTGTGCGTATTGTAATCAAATATCTTCCCACAATCAAACCTTAATTGTCAAACGGTTATACCGTTCTTAGTTTTAAGCATTTGATAAAAAGGAAACAATTGTCAGCAGTTAAACCTTAAGGTTAGCATTTCCTAGGAATCACATCAGATGAGAGGAACTTAACTAGCTTCCTGGATAATAATGGTTGTTACACATTCTTACTTAGAGAATATAAGCAAGATTTCACGAATGGCATCAGATTATGAACAGGTAAATACAGAGTGACATTTATACATTTAACGGCATTTCAGAACGATGACATGTAATACTTATTTTGTCCACCTGGGGGAGCTCTGGTTCCAAGAAGATAGCTTTGATTATTCTTTAAACAATCCTTTGCTCAGTAGCTGGGAAATTTTGTTATTTAACATTAAATTCGAGCTGGAAAATTAATCGAGTAGTATAGGATGACTATCATATCATTTCTTTTCAACAACAATATCAACAACAACATGGTAACATAACTACTCAAATGGAGTGGACAGACCTGTTAAGTAACTTAAAGATTATTTAATTAAACAAGGAAATACTTTTTTTGAGGAGACAGTACTCCTTGTTTACACAAAGGAATTCAAGGCTGTCCTCCTCTGGTGTTCTGGAGTTCCTCACAATTCACATCTGGGCGTGAAGAGGAGAATATCCTTTGATGTGAGATAATTAAACAAAGAGGGAGTTCAGTTGCTATGGTTACGTGTGTGGGGAGCAGTTTAGGGTTTCCTGCCCTCTCTTGAAAAGAGTTCTGATAGGCTGTTCAGGAGAAAGCTAATTTCTGGTTAGTGTTTCTTTGTCATTTTAACAGTCAGGCACCGAGCCTTGTCTGGCTGCTGCAACAGAGGTGGCAAGTTTTACAATTGAACTCCCCAGAAAAAGCACTTGGGGAAAGCAAACCTTTCACCTCCTCCTTTGGTGTATATATATATATATATATATATATGTGTACACTGAACACAAAGGTACACAAAAGGCCTATTTCTCTCAAATATTGTTCACAAATCTGTCACAATCTGTGTCAGTGAGCACTTCTCCTTTGCCGAGTTAATCCATCCACCTCACAGGTGAGGCATAACAAGATGCTGATCAGACAGCATGGGTGTTGCACAGCTGGGCCTTAGACTGGCCACAATAAAAGCCCACTCAAAAATATGAATTTTGACTATTTTGTTTTATTGTGCTGCCTTTGTGAGGCACTTTGAAACATGGATTTTAAAAAGTGCTCTATAAATAAAGAGTATCATTATATTATTATGAATGTAACAAAATTAAAGAATAACAAAAGCATTGGTAAAGCTTTAACCTATTATCTTAAATTGTGGAGCAAAAAGTCACATTGAGTGTTTGGGAGACACAACACATCTTTTTTTTGTTTGAGGGAAAAATTATTTGTCCACCAGTTGGTGTCACAAAACATGCAGTACCGACAGTGGCTACTAAACCAAAATGTTCAAGACTGCTTAAACTGGATTTCTTCTTCTACATTAAGGGTTATGTATACATGCGTACCTGACATAAGTTTCATAAATAATGTAACTACAGGGTTACAGAAGCTACAGAGATATCTACAACTTTGATTGGTCAGCTCAGGCTACTTTGGGTTTTCTTCTACAAGTTTATGATGCAGATGTAGATTGTTGACAGTGAAAACAAAATGAAACAAGTTTTTAAAAAACCCTGTTATCTTCTCCTTTTGAGTAACACAACTAAAACTCAAGTAATCTGATCACACACATACACACACACACACACACACACACACACACACACACACACACACACACACACTGTGATTCTCTCAAACACAACTTCCTGCCTAAAAGGGCAAGAGACCTCTCTACACCTCTGCATCTGAGAGAGAGAGAGAGAGAGAGACAACAACACTCGGAGTGACCGAGCTGTGCTGAGCAGCATGTGGATGAGGGCAGGAGGAAGTCCAGTCCCCTTCCTCCTCTTGTGGTTTCTGCTGACGATGGGCTCCTTCTGCTCGGCTCTGGACAGGAAAATGGCGGTGGTGATAGTGACGCCACGAGAGGAGTCGCCAGTGACAGGTCAGAAAGTCCTTTTCTACCTCTTTATGCCTTAGTTCTTAATATATTTTTTTTATAATCCCCTACATGCTCATCATCATTCTGATATCTGTCCATGTGAGGTTTATCCATCAGATATGCAGATATCATCAACACTGACATTTTGGTCATATCTGATAAATAAAGGTAGATTGAAACACTGGGTCAGAGTTTAGACAGTTAAAATTATGTTAAAATGAAACTATTTTAAATATTTGTGCACTGAGGTAATAAGAACATTCAAATTTTTAAAGTCATCCCTACAATTGTAAATGCGTTCGACTTACTATTACTTTACTTGGATGTTTGAGCTTCACTGTGCAGAGTTTGTAATCACATTCAGCTGCTGAAGGAGGAATGTTTCTCTGTGCTCACCTTAAATCTCAGTTTAACACCTTGACAAACCTGCAGGCATTTTCGGAAACTCAAAGCCTCGTGTGCACATTCAGTGAAGTAGTGAAGTAGGAGACATCTATTTCTAGAAGATAAACTGTGGAAATGAGACATAGATTCTGGATTTTTCGTTAAAGGAGAAGGAGTAGACGTCATTTAAAGATCATTTTTAAGTAAATAATTAACTTCTTTGAGGAATAAACTTATCAAACACAAAATGACAAGTTATTGTTTGAGATAGATTTGATTTACACACCTTAGACATGTCTGGGATCTTTAAGACGCAGTTAATAAATGAAAAAATGAAAATGTGTTTTCAGAAGTGTTTTTATAGCTTCTGTCAGATGAAGGGTTAAAAATAAATACCGGGTCTCTCAGCTCTGCACATGTTGTACTTGTTGCCTCGAAAGCCTTTTGACCCATATAGACCTGCATATATTACTGAAACATGCACACACACAAACACTCCTCCAGCCGCCCACATGGTCATCTTTAATTGTCTCTTCAGTGTTGGTGCTGATTATGAAGAATCAATTAACTGTCAATTAGCCAGCTGACTAATCAGACAGTCCACTGTTGCCATGAGGGTTTGTTTACAACCACAAGAGCTGTTCTGTTGGAGAGCATGGGCACACACGGTCTGTAAAACACATCAACACTCTCTGTTAATCCTACTGAAGAGCACTGGTCTCCTCTGCTATATCCTTTTGTCTCTCCTAGGACAGTCTCTTCTACTTAGTCTACTTTGGTCACCTCGGGTATCTTGTGTGGTTTCTCCTTGTCTTTTCTACTCTAGTCATGGTGGCTATGAAGTCATCCACTACATTGTGGAAAACTTTGAAA